CGGGCAGAGCTCTCGCACGAAATGCTGCTCGGTCCGTCAGGCTCGATCCTCTTCACCCAAATAAATCCTGAAAGTCTCGTTGCAAGTTGAGCGTTATTAAATTGAGGTGTAACCAAGTGCCGTCAAGAAAGATTGTTGTGGTGCTTCGGACGAACCTAAATGCAGACTGTAACAAGTCAGGTGTCCATGCCACAACCCCACCTGTTCGGACTCCCCGGCGGCAATGTAGCTGCAGCCACCTTTGACAACTTGATACATGTTGCTTCTCGTGAAGATAAGGATGCTTGTCGAAACTGTGAGACGCACAAGGCTGAGTCATGGATTGACCTCCATGTTCAAATTCTCAAAAACCGGCACGACTCCGACATCCGTAACGCCTAAACAACATAGGGGTTCCGTCTGATGGTCCGGGGTTCAAGATCTAGGAATCTAGGGTTGAGGACTCAGGAACTGAATAGGAGGATGTAGGAGATGGATCTCTTCTTCTCCATCGTTTCACGCAATGCTGTGGACGGCACAGGGCTCGGCAAGCACGGGAACATAGGAGACCTGCGACAGCATCTTACCACCGATGGCCTTGACCTCCCGTCCATCTTTCAACCAAATCCCCACTGTGAACTGCTGCCTCGACTACTGCTTCTCCTTCGCGGGCTGCAGCTGCGATGGTGACGCTAGACGAGCACGACTACGACTGGGAGGACCAGCTGCAAGTGCAAGCATTCAGTTTTCGTCCAGTATCACTGCAAGTAATTACCGTGAGTCCGCCACGAACAACCGAACTTCCCACACCTCGGAGACCAGCGTGGGCCGCGGAAACTCTATGGGCGGTGCCTGTGCAGCGGCAGCTTGCGAATTCTGCCGTGAAGGCTGCAAGGGAGCTATAGGCGACCAGGTTGCTGGTGCTGTGATGATAAGCAGGGCTTACCACGAAGACTCGATTAGCATCTAGTTCTGGAGATCGTTGAAGTGTAAACGAGCCAGGGAACACGCGCCAAGGAGAACATTCTGGCACGGCTCTGCCAATGCGACCGATACAAATTGTTGCAGAACGTATCTATACCTCCTTCATCCATCTGTCTCTCTCTCTCTCTCTCTCCTCTCTCTCTCTCTCTCTCTCTCTCTCTCTCTCTCTCTCTCTCTCTCTCTCTCTCTCTCTCTCTCTCTCTCTCTCTCTCTCTCTCTCTCTCTCTCTCTCTCTCTCTCTCTCTCTCTCGACTACTCTACTACTACTACTACTACTACTACTACTACTACTACTACTACTACTACTACTACTACTACTACTACTACTACTACTACTACTACTACTACTACTACTACTACTACTACTACTACTACTACTACTACTACTACTACTACTACTACTACTACTACTACTACTACTACTACTACTACTACTACTACTACTACTACTACTACTACTACTACTACTACTACTACTACTACTACTACTACTACTACTACTACTACTACTACTACTACTACTACTACTACTACTACTACTACTACTACTACTACTACTACTACTACTACTACTACTACTACTACTACTACTACTACTACTACTACTACTACTACTACTGCTACTGCTACTGCTACTGCTACTGCTACTGCTACTGCTAATACAACAACAACTACTACTACTACTACTACTACTACTACTACTACTACTACTACTTCTTCTACTTCTACTACTTGATGACTACGGCTACGACTACGACTACCGCTAGGACTGCGATTACTGCAACTACTGCACAGACGGCGACTACAACTACTGCTACTGCTGCCTGCTGATGCTGCGACCACCACGACGACGACGACATACCACTACCAACTACCGTTGCTGCTGCTATGATATTATGGCGCTCACAGGCTTGCTGCGACTGCCTCTTCGACTGCGATGAAGTGCGTCTACCCTTGCTATTCTATGCCCTGTCACGATCAACACATCTGTGCAGCAACCAATCCTTTCGATGTCTTCAGTCATTCTCTCTGAGCAGGTAATCGGCCTGCCTGCAGCAAGGGCTTATCAAGCCCTCGGCTCTGGGCCACGAGCTTTGAGCGCGACTGGGCCTTGGTCTCCGTGTTTCTGCGGAATGCGGCCTTGCTGCTCCATACAACCGACCGCTGCAGGGGGTGCATGCAAGAGATTCTGCGGTTTAGCCATCTAGCCAACGCTGAAGGGAAGTCTACGTTATAAGGGCTGTAGCTGCAGGGCCTCCGCCACTCGGCGCGCTACGTCCCAAAGATCAGTGTTCATCTTGTACTGAAGCGACAGGTCCGCCCATACGAGATATCCTCAAGTCTGATCCTGGCAAAGCGCTGAAACGAGCCGGGACCCCCCGCGTATGGCATTACCTCCACTTTCAGCACGGCTCGCTCTTGTCGAGGCCTCCGCCAGACCGACAGCATCCTGTTAAAAGCATGAACACGAGGATACTGCTAATGTTGATCATCGTGATGATGTTGTAGAGTAGAAGATAATTCATTCAATGCTGATGCTGACCATGACTAGGAGGAGGAGGAGGAGGAGGAGGCTATTGAAACCAGCAGAAATGTCTGAGGACGCGGTGGGTAGCCTCAGTAGACGTCATCCTCGTGGGGGCCGTAGTGATACAACCATACGAATACTGTTGTATATCTGCATATCGCTCGTTTGCGGACCTTGGCTGGGCCGACGCAGCGGTCGGCGCGGAATGCGACCTGTGTTTTCTTCCGAAATGGGGTTATGGCAATCGGCTCAAGGTTGCCTGACTGAGAGAGTAATATATTGCTTAGGACCTAAGATGTCGAAGACCTACTTGTTGCGGCCGTGGGCCTAGCGGAAAAGTCCTGGTGTACTTCCGTTACGGGGTTTAAAGACTTAAGGTTTCAGGCTGTCGGGACACGGAGACCTAGTAGCTTTGTCTTCGCGTGTTTCTGTCTTGGATTTTCATCTTGTCCTGATGCTCTGGGAAATGAACTGGCGCCACGACTTTCTCTGCATTTATCTCGAAACCCCGAGGGCTCAACGCTCCGGGTGCAGGTTCAGAGTTGGATCGATGGCTTACGGACGTCATTTACAATGTCTGTAGAGTCTAGGTTGTCGGGCTGAATGTGCCAGGGTATGTGAAGCTCACACCGCCGAGCTTTTTCTTGACGAAGATTGCGTTTTGGCCTCGCAACACAGGGCGTTGTGTTGCCCAGAGGTACACACAGTTGAAACTTCCGATGTTGAATGCTTGTGCATCTAGTTCAAGCAAGCTGGCAACGATAAAGCCAACTGTAAGGAAGGCCGGAAGGCTCACCTTGGTCCACGCAGCCATAATGCAGATTCCAGAGACTCTTCATCACACTAGCTTTACGATATCAAAAAGCTTGAAGGTACCCAGCTGTTATTCACAGAACAGCTTCAACCCGCGTCACCAAACACTCCCGGCCTTACCACCGTTTGGCGCGTCACTGCCTGCTCAGCTGCGGCACCTCGAGGTGCACACTCGCAAGAGATCATAAGTTCAATTAGCTTTAAATTGAGCTTGCCGACCCTGGGTCCAAGGATCGATATTAGCACTGGAAGCATCGGGGGTCCCAAACTCATCACTCGCCATCGACACTCAACTCGTCGGCTTGCCAAGTCTGACGATCGTCAGGGCAAAGAATTTCCTGCGGCTGAAGAGCCAGATGGCTAGATCAAGTTATCATGAAAAGTCCCTCACATGGCCCTGAATTTCTGTCAAGCGATGGAGAAAGGAAGGGATGTTGGGTGCTTCTTGACAAGCTCTGCACAGCAAGGTTCCAATTTTGTATGGCCGGGAAGGGAAGATGAGCATACTACAACAAGCTCTATTCGAGAACCGGCGTTATACCTAAGCTCCCATCACCTTTCAAGTCCAAACGACCGAATCTCTGGCAGTTGAGGTCTGCACCGGCCGGCTGATTCCTCGGTGACACCTGGCAGACCTGTGTAGCGATGTGCTTCGACTCTGGTACACTAGTACTATTTGTCACCTGGACAGACCGGGACTGGAGTACCACGAACTTGTCGCTTAAGAAGGAAATCTCGTGCCGTGACACCCTTACACAGTGCTTGCCTGCTCCTTTCGAGAAAGTCGAGCGGGTGTTCCAATTGCGGTCGGACGCCGGGGTATGTTATATGAGTCATGCTGCCTGCCAGCATGCACACGAGGGACACCGCCAGGCTAACCGAAGAACGCCTATTCGCGGCTGACCAGATCGGCAGGGCATCTGAAGTTGACCAGTTCCCTGCTCTGATCCCGCCTCTAGAAACCAACCAAGTCACGATTGGGATCTTTTGTTGGGACGGATGTGGGAAGGGGAGCATCTCTCTTGCAAACCGTTGACACAGCGATGGACAGCTTCTTGTCACTGCTCCAAGGGCAGCGGAGCTCTGTCTCGGCAGGCTAGACCAGAAATCTATGTAATTAAGTTGCCGGCAGATGGGTTCGGCGGCCAGTTCGACCTTAAACAGACCAGACATGAACATGGAAAGTACAGAATCTCGGATCCGTGCGGTAGACGACACTCCTTGAGGCAGACTTCGAAGCACATGGGGCGAAGAGCGACTCTTGGCAGTTGACAACCCCATTGCCGAACGAATCCCGAAAGCAGTGTCGAGGACCATGCCTGCCTCGTTTGACACCAAACCAGTACGAACCCTTGAAGCCCAAGGGGAACAGATTGATTGGGGGCTGCCACTTCTTGAGATTTGGGGCCGGAGCTGGCAAATTCAGCGCAAAACTCTCGAAACTTCATAGTGCCTGCTTCGAACCATTCTAGAGCTTTCTTGCAAGCCCTGTAACCCCTAAACCCTGAACCTAACCTATATGGAGCTTCCTCCACCTCCGATTCCTCTCTTTTCTTCCTTGCCCTGTGCCAAGGAGGCCGTCCTTCGAAGGAGTTTCCCACTGTGAGACCGGAAATCTACTGGTTCCAAGATGGTCTGAAGTCACACAAGCGTCATAACCAGCATTTTTGGAAACCCCTATCCCGCAAAGCGAAGCTCATGTGTGAGACCGACTCAGCTGCTTCAAACACTCTGCAGACATCCTAGCGACTGTCACTCCATGGTCGTTGGCCAGCAGCCAACCTGCTAACTAAACTTCCGTCAACGTCCATAGTTTCGTTTCAACCCTAAAACCTGAACCTTAAAGCTCAGCTCCCAAACTTTGAGCCTTGAAAGTTGAGTCGTGGGCGGTAGCTTCAATTTTAGGCCTTTCTCTTTTTTTGTGTTTGTGTGAGCCGTGGAAGCCCGCAAAATCCCTGCAGCTAGAGCACCCGGAACTTAAAAGTCATGTGTTGAGATGAGTTGAACCAACAGCATGAGTACGAAGTGCCGAGCCCACAAGTGACTTGCCTGCCCGCACAGGCGACACCTGGATAAATCCAAAACGATGATAAGCCGCCGCTTGTTCATGCTTGTTTGTAATGTCCGTGTAATGACAGTGTAATGCGCATTTGTAACGTCCGTTTATACATACATGGCACACATGACGTACAAGAGTTACATACATACACACATGCATGCACGCATGCATTCAATCATACACTCATACTTACTCTGCATTTGTTCATGGCAAAGACACATGCATCCAGGCAGACAGACAGGCCGGCACGAACGTCCATCCATCCATCCATCCATCCGTCCGTCCGTCCAGCCAGCCAGCCAGCCAGCCAGCCAGCCAGTAATCTCGCCATCCAGCCATTTGATCCATGCATGCACTCGTTTTCTAATTCGTTCATTCATTCCTACATTTGCATGCGGACCTCACATGTACGTGTATGCATTCGCGCATGTGCGTGCCTCTGTGTGTCTGTGTGTGTGGATCGCTCAGGGTTCCGGCCGTGTGAAATATGAGTTAACAAAACACATCGTCGCTTGCGTAGCTCAACCGGAGCCCTCTAAAAGACAACGAGCTGCCATCCCGGTCCGGGCCAGAGGCTGTCAGACCTTCGGTCGGACAGCAGGATGTTCTGTGGTGCTTGAGTCGAAGGAGGCCCAGGATCTGCATCCAACACTTCAGGAGCGGCGGATGTGTTAAAGTGCTTGCAGGGCTTTGTGCTTTTAGTACGGCCGCCGAGCAGAGAAGCCTTCGGTAGTTCTGTACATACGGCTGGGTTGGAGAATGCGGTGACTCTGCAGCTTGCTGATGGGCTTTATCAAAGCTCATGATGACCTTTGGATGTGGGTCTTCCCATATTGCACTAGTCTTGTCAGGGTAGGTTGTTTATTCTGGGGATCGCGATCACACATGCGAGTGTTCTGTCTGCGCCGTAGTGAAGCCTTTAAGCCGAGAGAAACGGACTAACATCATACTTTATGGGAAACATCTTGGTCAGCCTTTAAGCTTTACAAGGTGTTGAATGGAGCCCTGCAGAAGGAAGCACAGGAGTGTCGCAGAGTCCTGTCAGGAGCTCCTCCAGAGTTCCGATCCCAGGACCAAGGACGACTTATAGGGGTTAGCTCCGTTTTAGGGTTTAGGGCCAGGATCAACGATGACTGATAGGGCCTAGCTCTGCTTTAGGGCTTAGGGCTTGTCTTAGGATTTAAAGTTTCTGGGTTCTGCGGCTGCCTCACATCCTAAGGCTCAAGCCCCAGAAGCCCGTGTGCACTGGGCGTTGACCAAGGTGACGAAGCACCAGAGGAACCTGGGAAGAAGGATTCTTCCCTTGGTTGTCCGGTATACAAAGGGGAACTAAAGGTTAACCTTTGGGGTGTTTATACCCAACAGGTTAAAGAACTGCTAAGTTCTAGATGGGTTCAACCATCACTCTTGGAGGTTAAACTCGGAGGAGGCTGGGAGGTACTGTTTGGATGTAGGGTTCGCGGTTTGGGGTTTCCAGTTATGTTGTGCTGCCAAGATATAAAAGTGATGCGACAGAGGTGTCTCGAGCGCAAGGTGCTCTGAGAAGAATGACCCCACCGTGGTATTCGGGCAAACGGTGTGCAAAGCACCGAAACCGATTCCTATAGGATTCAAGCCGCATCGTCATTCAACCCCTCTGAGGCTTTCCAAGTCCATTGAAGCCCTGAAGCTCCAAGCCCGAGTGCAATCTCCGCAGAACCTGAACCAGAGGAGAGGTGAATCCCAGCCACTGAACTCTGCAAAGCACCCTCCTTGACGCAGATAGTTCAGAAGAACTGTAAATATCAGGGCCTCAACAGACTTGTCGCACAAGGATCGTAACCGGAAGCTGCCAGCCTGAGCCCGCTGCACAGAGGTCCTCAGGAAGGAAGGGATCCTCCTCCCCATCTGGCAATGCAGGTGGTGCTTCGCCAGGGACAAAGCAAACGATTTCGAAGGACCTGGGCTGTGGGAACTTTACGTATACCTAAAGCCCCAAAAGTAGGTAAAATAATGGCCCAACACCCACAAAAGGCTATTCTTCTGCATGCTTTTGGGGTCCAGGTATACATAATATCCGGACGGTAGGGGGAACAAGGCTGTCTGGTCAGGGCATTCAAGCTGCAACAGATATATGTGCTTTGCGTTGAGTATGTACTGGTAGCTTTCGGCAACCCCGACTTCTGATTCTAGCATCAAGTCTCTGGAAGCCCACACTCCCAGTGCCAACAGTGCGCTCTGCCGGGAAACAAAGGAATGCGCAGCGCATGGCACTGCACGGCGCTTGACTGCAAGGAGTGACAGGGCTCGTAGCACCCTAAACCCTAAACCATCAAAGTCTCAGCGGGACGGGAGGTCGGAGCTCTGACAGGATGGCTATGCTTGTACGTGCTGCTAGTCTGGGAGACCAAAAGCACTCCAACCCAACGACGGCAAGCTGTGTTTGCGACCAGGCACCCCTGGAGAATGACATACCAGAATGGCAACGGGAGGAGCGGCTGTCCTGGAGTCTTTTCGGAAGGTTGAGGCCTGGGTTCATCGCCGTAGGATCTAAGGCGATCCATGCAAATCGAAGAGGCGCTCATAAAGCCTCAACGCAACCGCCCTAACACGCTGAATGTTGGGACCTCGGGCCAGAAACTTCCAGTCTCAAAGGCTCAACGCACCGTGAGGAATCGCAAACGCGAGTCGTAGACGCAACAGGTCATGACCATGGCGAGGATGTTGTTAATGATGATGCTGGTGATGACAGTGATGGTGGTGACTGCGATGCACATGAATACACAGAGGATGAGATCAGAAAAAATAGTAAATGGTACTAGTTTTTTGTGGCGAGAATGATAGCGGTGATGGTGGTTATGATGAAGAAGAAGATGAGGATGATGACGACGATGATGGTGATTGCGACTACGAATACAACAGGAATACTGGTTCGGTGAGGAGGAAGATGAGAGCTAAGGCCACGATTGATTATGTTGGTGATGGCAGGAACTCTATGAATGAGAAGGAGTATAGGTGGAGGAGAAGCTATGCAACGGCTCCTGCAAGTGATGTGCGCATGCAAGAGGCCACATGATTCGGCATCAAGCTGGTTCGTCGCAGCAGTGACAGCGAGAGGACTGGAAATCCAAAGCGCTGGCGGCTCAAGCTCGGGGTCGCAGCAATGCGAGTAGCATGGTCGGATCAGGTATAGCACTCAAAACAGCAAACATGTCGGAGCACGGAGGAGCATAACCACCGAACGTCTGTTTCTAGCTGAACTCACAACAATCGATGGTGGCAAAACAACAACAGTTCTGCTGCACAGCTCAAGAAGGAGTATCTCGGTTCAGGGCTGCCTACCTGCCGGCACGTAGTGGACGGAGATGTCGGGAAGGCACTGTCGCAAAGACTTGGGCCTCATCATAGGTTCAGACTCAGACCCAGGTTTGGATTCAGGGGACGGGCCGCAAGCCGTATACAGGAATCAGAGTTTAGTGCTTATTGCTTGCGAGACGGCTCGAGTGTGCCACGGGACTGTGTATGTGTATATGTACATACGATACGTCTATATATATATATATGTATATGTATATGTACAAGTATATGTACAAACAAATATGCCCAGCATCATCTCCCCGCACACCTAGGGTCTTTGCGGTTTCTGCGCCCTAATCAAGCCGGACAACTTGCAGCTTATTCAGCCCCCAGCCCTACCCAAACAGACGTAGTTAACTTTCAACGACGTCATGTTGTACGGAAGCCTAGAACCCTAAACTTCTGAATTGCAAACCCAACCGCCAACTCCGAACTCTCCCAGGGCAGGAGGCTCTAAGAAGGAGAACCCCGGCATTCTCCGCAGCAGATGGGTCAGCGACTCCAGTTCCACCTGTCCGACAGCCATTGTCTTCAAGGGATGATCTCCCACTCTCGTTGTTGGGGAAAGTGTGGCTGTTCGGTTCCGGCATGCTTGATACCAGAAAAAATGGAACTTTTGGATTTCTTTTGTAAGCTTTCCCCTCAGTGGTAGGATCCTTATAACGATCCGGAATGTAAGGCGTTCGTAAGACCTAAAACGGATCCCGAAGAAGGGGCCCCAAAAGGCCGACGAGCCTCAGTCAGGCGACTGACCGCGCTCTGCTGGCGGAAAGTGCGTGCCTCGCGTCTGGAGTGGCTTCAACGGTTTAGGGTTCGTCGTTTACATGCTTAAGTTAGGGAGTTTAGGATCTAAAGGAGTTTGGGTTTTAGGGTTTGAAGGGCTTGAGAGGTTAGGATTTAGGACATTGGGGTACTGCGTTTATGGTCTTGGTTTGTAGGGTTCCCGCAAGGATTCATAGGTTTTGGGCTCGGTGGTTTGAAGTTTACAAGTGCAGGAAGGTTTGTGAACATGCTGGCCACGCAATGTCAAAAACATCAGCCGCGGTGTTCCAGATGTCGAAATGTCCACGACACCTGCAGCTTCTTGTTTCGGCTTCTTCAGAGTGCTAGCGAGGATTCGGTGAAACCCTACGTTATCACGTCGAACATGTTGAAACCCTGACGGTCTACGGCTCGTGTGTAGATATTTCTCACACCACCCTTGCTACAAGAACTCTCAATCAATGGTATAGTATTTCTATAAACACGAGTCCCCACCCCAAACCGCAGCCTAACCCTTAAACCTCAAGCCATGATATCGGTCGACAGGTGGCCAGAATTGCAGCAGCCCAGTGCCGATGCGGTGCATTCGCGGGCTGAGCTTGCACCACCATGCGTTGGTACTGCGCCTTGATGCTCCCGGTCAACCCTATGGGCTATCAGCTCTCAGAGTGTCAAAGTCCTAAACCCCAGACCCTGATGTATGTAGGTCGGTGACGAAAACGCCGCGCCAGCTGCAGATTTTGCAGACTGCATGCTCTCGGAAGTTTCAAACGCTTGAGGACCTATAGTCATTGAAACAAGATGGCCTATGATGATGCTATCGGTCTGCAAAATTTTAGGTATGCTGCGGTGTGGCTAGTTGGGACAAGGTAATGGGACTGGTGCTCCTGTGTGAAGCCGCATAAGACGTAAATTTCAGGAGTTGCGGTCCCAGTAGCGAAGGAGCTGATTTTGTCCTGGGATGCTTGTCGGCTGAATCTTGTAGCCACGCACAAGAACGCTCGTATAAAATGGAAAACGATGCGAAAAGCTCACTGGAACTTACTACATGCCCTGAAAATACGTTGGAAAACTTAGCCTTAGAAGCCCTGTGTGCCCTATGAAACCCTACCCCACACTAGATGCGGGAACCCCGAGCCTTAAACCCCAAACCCGACAACCAAAAACCAGAAAACCGAAGCCTAACCCGCAAGAAAAACTAAGCCTTCAAACTAAACACTAGAACCCCCTGCGGCAAGGACATTTACACTTTATTCGGTCAAGGTCCTGTTCTTCTCTATAATTCTTATAGGGCTTAGGGTCTATATTAATGGTCTCTTAATCATAGGTTGCCATAAGTCTTGACTCTTGTTGCTGTTAGCCACCCCAAAGACGACAACGACGACGCACAATGCAAAGAACGCAACGTGAGATCCCGACCAGCGCTTCTTTACTGCAGCTAGAAGTGTTTCCTCTGCTGCACATGTTGCGTGTTTTTGCTTTTCGAATGTCAAGAGGTTTGCAGCGCGTGCCCTCACGAAAGCAGAAGCAGCAGACATCGCCAGCCGACGCACTTCCGCCTGATGAAATTCAGTTGGGAATGCACCAATATTTTAAGAATGGGCTTGCTGTTTAACGGCATTATATAACCTTTACAAAAAGTAGTCAACAATTAAATGATTGGCCCGTTCAAATTCTGTAAGCCTTTGATTTTTCCAAAACAAAGGGCTTGACCCATCTAAATTTTGAAGATTGCAGATAATGAAAGCAATAAACCTGGGGTAATTGAAGGTTGTAAAAACGTTGCGGGCCTTCTGATCTCTCCCAAACCAAGGGCTTGGCCCATTTAAGTCAAAGATTTTACATGTAAAGAGTTTAAGGGCATTCGCAGATTTGAACCAAATTACACTTTATAAAAGGTTGGCCCATTTAAATGCTAAGAAATCTTAAATATTTTTAAAATGCTAAAGGCCTGTTGACTTTTCCAAAACCAAGGGCTTGGCCGATGTCGCCAATGTAAATTTTAAAGGTTGTAAACAATCACAGGGCATTAACATTTTCAAACTCAAAATTTACATGGCTAGCTCTTCTAACACCAATTTTTGTGGCAACGAAGTATAGCAACCAAGCCGAATGCCAAACAAAGCACGAAGGTCCTACGTAGAGAACCCCATAGATCTCCTAAGCCCTAAACCCTGATTCCCTATAAACTCTTGCTAAAAGCCCTTTAGGGTTTAGGGGTTTAGGGTTCCCTGCGGAGTGCCACGGATCCCGGGCAAGGTCCCGCTGGATCGACCGCAGGGAGGCGCCCATGTTGGCCACGCGGCGCCTGGGAAGGGCACGCGAAGGCCCAGAGACTCCGATGTCCCTTAATTAGGGGATAATGTACCTTAAACTATGGTAGAATATATATATATATATATACATATTATATATATATATATATACATATTATATATATATATATATATTTATTTATTTATTTATTTATATTTATTTATATTTCTCTATGTAAAATGATTCAAGGTATATTCACTAAGTAAAGGATATTGGGGTCTCGGGGGGCACGATGAGCTAGGGTTCAAGGGCTTGGGGTTGAGGATGTAAAGGTTGCGGGAGTTAAGATTTGGGGTTTGTCGGGGTTTATAGGGTGTAGACTGGGTTTAGGGTTGGGGCAAGAAAGCTGAAGACAGCCGGAAGCTTTTCGCCTTATGAACAGATGGACCCTCTTTGCGGAAACCCAGGACCCAGGCACTTCGGGTTTCCCATCAAAGTCAAAGAACTTCGACCCCCTGGATCGGCAAAGCCGTTAGGTGCCAGCGGCCTCAACTCACAGCCAGCTTTTCGGACACGGGCGCCCGAACCCTTTACCCCAATGCATCTCCTGAACCCTGGGCCCTAAATCGAAAGCTCCTCAAGCCCAAACCCTCCCAAAGCCAGAACTCCACGCTCTGGCCTAACCAACTCGAAGTCCGCCCAAACTTCTGCCTGACAGCGGGGTCCACGAGAGCTCGTCGTCTACATGTTGCGTACTTGTTTGGGACTATGCTTTGAGTTTGGGCCAGTTCGGGTCATCAGCCCGCATCAAAACCCTGGTATGCCAGCCCCGTTTGTTGGGAGAGGTTCGGGGGAAATGAGGCTGTTCGACCCCAAAAAGCAAGCACGCCCTGCAAACATTCTTAACGACGCCGGCGAAGCTTTTAGCAGTGAAGATTTTCTTCCAATCGGGGCGGCACTGTTCAGAGCTGTCGACATGTAGCGGGTGTCGTGGTGGTTCTGGTTTATGCGCCTGTCGTCGTGGTCCGCACAGTATAGCTACAGAAGATCTGAAGCGTACAGCATGGTGGGCCGTGCTTCAACAGCACCTCACGGAGTAGGGAACTGAGCTTGCGCCATCCCCCATGCGCCTGTCGCTCAGGCAGCATGGATCCCGTCAGCGCACGACGCACCAACCTCAGAAGGCACAAAGCTGCCTGTATTGCCAGCACTGCCCATGCTATCCCACGTGTGATCCAGGCCCTAGTGCGAGAGTCCAACACAGAAACTTCGATCTCACGTCTCTATGGGACAGTATAGTCCATGACACACTGGTCAGCATACGCTGGGGCTGCTGCAGCAACGGTGGTGGAGCCAGATCACGACCAATGCACCTGCTCACCTGGGCGAGCACCATGTCGAATATCGCAACATCCTCTTTGGTGCTTCTGAGCTATGACTTTGACTTTAATTGTGTTATTGCATACGCTACATAACTCGAATTCGAGAGCCAACGAAGGCCAAAGGGAGCTGAGCAGTTGCTGCTCATGAGTCCAATCTGGCAGAAGACATGCATAGGCACCTGTTACCAACACGAGCTGTAGGATGCATTGCTATAGACAAGGGTTGAATCCTGTTCTTCTGCTTATTTAGGGTTGGTGGGAATTCATTGGAGTTTAGGAGCATTACATACCCGTCTTATGTTGCCATCTAGCTTGTGATATCATCTTCTCAAAGCAACAGCTGCAAGCATGGCTGCGGCTTAACAAGGACTCCAAACATCAGTTTCGGCTCCAATTTTACAAAGACCGTTCTACGCACAGGGTAGAATGCTTTTGCCTATGTCCCGTTTTCACTGCTGGCTACTCGGGCTCATGGCCTTGCGAAATAAGAAATTGAGCATGAAATCAGGCTTCAACTGGCCAGCCTCTCCAGACTCAAAACGTCTAGTTGCAAACTCTACCGGCATAGGTCTTGCCATGCATAAAAACCTCAAACCCAAATCTCACAACCGCCTCTCTTTCAACCCTAAACTCTAAACCATTCTAAACCGTATATACCCTGCCTGAAACCTAAAAGCACTAAACCGTAAACCCCCTGATAAACCCTATAAGCCCTAAACCGCAAAACACCATTTAAACCCTAAAGCCCTGAACCCCACCCGCACCCCTGAAAACCCCTCGGAAGCTCAGCCACTGCCAGGTCGAAGTCCCGCGAAGCAGCGCGGGGTGCTCCGGCCCGGAGATGGCAAACGCCCCGGTTGTAGGGATGCACCGGGTTCCCTTAGGGCTCTTGAGGTTTAGGGTCTAGGGTTTCAGAGCATAATTAGGGTTTCGGGCCTTGCAGGGTATGTTTTGAGGGTCTTGGGGGGGGTTTGTTACAGGAGTACGACTGTGTGCTTGTAGACTCTTGGGATGCTCTGCATTTCGGTCTTTTTTGGGTATCGTTTAAAGCGGTTTGAGGTTCAGTGCTCTACAGGATCTGAAATCCTGGGTGTGCGGATTGTGCCTATGCGCCATCAGGTTGGACTCGGCTCCATGGTGCGAGCCGTTTTGGGGTTTAGGGTTTTAGGGTTTTAGGGTTTAGGGTTTAGGGCTATGTCGTTACAGCCCCGGTGAAGCGAGTTTCGCGCTTAACTTCTCGGGGTTGGCTTTGCGCCTGTGGAAGGGTCGAACTTAAACCGACCCAAGAACTTGAACGAAAAATTCGCGAAGCTTGAATCAGGACCTGGTCAGGCATCTCGTCTGGGAGTTGTTGGATCATATTTTGGTGGAGGCTGGTAAGAACGGCAAGACTAGTTCTGCTCCGTTCTAACAATACCGATTTACTTACCAGTATTTTCAGCGACGACTGCAGTTCAAGTTGTACCTGTTGTCAACAGTAATTCAACAGTACTGCTGCTATCTCCTGTCAGATTGCTGACACTACTCTGGCGACTCGTCTTGCGCTTGTCATTGCTAGCCAACGTTTTTAGAAAGTCGGTGCTTCTATGTGTAACTGACCGTGGCAATGCTTGTACCGCTTCGTCGAGTGCTTCGAGGCTTCCAGGTTTAGGATCTGGAGCATTTTTGGGGTGTAAGATGGAGGGTTCAGGGTTTACCTATAGTCTCCATTGTAGTTCCTTTTTGGGGTTACCTTTTAGGATCCCGAATATAAAGTTGGTTAAACCAGAAAAAGGAACTACAATGGACCCTATAGGCAGGGTTTTGGATTTAGGATAGCAACCACCGGGCTTCATCGGAGGAAGGAGAAAACCGTCATCCCAGAACTCAGATCCAAGGTCCCAGTCTCCGCAGTCTCGTGCAACGCAGGACGCCTTGACAGCTTGGAGCTCCACACATGTAGTATATTAAACTATTGCGATACAATATCTACAATGTTATACTTTCTCATAGTGAACCATAGTACTATGTCATATTCATTACATTCTAAACTTCCAGGCAAGGTGGAACCAAAACTCTGAAGAACCGAAGCCCCAGTTGAATCGGAATTGGAAATACCATCCTACACTCAGAGCGCATGACTCCTCTTTCCGGATCCCCACCTTTCTCGAAAAAGGCGCTCCTCTCCACACCAACCAAAACAAGATGCAACCCTCAAAGGAACCCTATTCTTGCAAGATCTCCATTACCCTCACCCTCAGCCCACATGGACAAGAACACCTAAGACAACTCACACAGGTGGACACCGCCGATGTCAAGGACGGGAGATGGCAAAAGCCTGACGCGATATGTAAGTTGTATATACTCCGAAAATGGAAATGTTCAATATTGCATTCTCGCCTGTGGGCAAGTCTGCGCGGAAACTCCGCCACCCTATCTCTCCCTGACCGAATCTCGCTCGCACTCTCTCTCTCTTTCTGGTCTTCTGCCTTGCCATCTGTGTGCCTCGCTCTATCTGATATCTATCTGTGTACATGTATATTTTGTACATGCATATATACAGACAAACAGATTCTGTCAGACAGACAGACAGACAGACAGACAGATAGGCAGATAGACTTAGATATTAATGTGTACATACATATACATATAATCTCTATCTCGCTCTGTTCGTTCGCTCTGTGCCCTTCTTGGATGTACATTTCAGACACTCTCTCGATCTCTTGCAGCAGACACCCCTTGAGGCTCGGCACGAAGAGACCACCGGCTGCCGCGGGAAAGCCCAATGCCTCTCTGCGTTCCTATCCTATATGTAGGTGTCGGTTTAACTAGCCCCGAAACGATACTCAAAAAGAGTGCTCTCTGTTAAACCAATAAGGAAAGTAACAATTTTCCCAAGTTGATATCTAAGGGTTGGTTCTTGTAAGGATGCTATAGGGAAGGGTTCCCATATGGGTTGCCCTAAGGGTTCCCATAAGGGCTGGTTCCCATTAGGATTCCGTGCAGGGTCCTATCTGGGTTTGTTAAGGGTCCCTTTCAGGACCCCGAAACAGGAAACCGTAGGAAGTTTTTTGTCTTGGTACCGCCTGCAGTTCAGTTACGACATGCTTGGCCCATGTTTTAAGATTCTCGCAATGCTGCTTCTTTGATGTCGAGGACTGGATCCCCCTACAGGTGGTTAGAGCCTTGCCCTTGCTCCTTGTGAGCGGAGCAGGGGTGGAAAAGGAAATCCGAAGAATGCCACAGCCCTCCCGGCACGGTCTTGGAGGCTTTGTCGACCCTTGCATGACACGACTAGCATACCATTGGCGGGGCGGTTGGGCTCGCACTTTGGAGAATGAAGATGATGATGCATCTTAGCAGCATAAATCCCCGTGAACCCGACCTTAAGAGGTGCCCAAAAGAAAATTCTAGCAACATCTGGCCTCAAGGCAGCAACCGAGGGTCCAACGAAGCAGCCTCAGAATGATGCTCTTGATGCTTCTGCGGATTTCTGTGGGCGCAGATATGTGTATTATGGTATCTCAGTTTAGGGAGTGTAACTCGTCAGGCTGTTATTCATTGGTCGCGAGAAGGCCGACCAGTGCTACATCGAGTAATTATGAAGATGCCGGGAACGAACTATGACTGCTGCTCTGACATGCCTGCTGGATGCACCTTGCGGCTTGAAACTGATGACATTCGGTCCGAAGGAGGTCACTTTCTACATCCTCGTGCTCATGGATGTGGCGGGCTGCAACTGATTTGTTAAGTGCCAGATAGGGTGAGACATGGCTGATAGACATGTGGAAAGCTCACACAAGCAAGTCTCCTCTAACCCTGAAGCCCGCCCGCGCGAGATCCTGCGTTGAACCCTCCCACTATTGCAGTTCATTACAGGCCCCCATCAACACCAATGCAGTATCCTCCGATCCAGTGCTATTGGTTGGCACTTCCCGTGGGAGTGCATCTCGCGCGTGCCGGTGGCCAAATCTCTTCTCCAAGGCAGCCTAGCGTGGCGAAGCGTTAAAGTTACTATGTGACGAATAATACTGACACTGTTTTCTGCAGTGCATCTGCTTTCCTTCTCGATGTGTATATGTTTACAGCTTTACTTGTTCGTTGATACCTGTGTTGACTTGTTTGGATCCCCATCCAAGCCAGGCTGCATGAACCACGGTTTGTAGCTTAGTTTGTCACGTTGGGTTGGGCTCATTTGGAGTCCCACGAGGATCTAGGGCAGGCAGAGACGACACGAAGACTATTCTTGTTAGGGTTCTGGATCTGGGGGTTGGGATGCAGCGACCACACAAAGCAACAGTATTATGGCCAATGGAAAAACCCAGTAGCGGAACAAGATACAAGCAAAACACGATATGCAGTTCAATCGGCTTGCTTGAAACATGTGTCATCCTGGGATGGCTTACCCCCACAACAAGGTTTGGAGAATTCGGGATCGATTCAGGTGGAAGCTCAATTTCGGACGTTGGAAGAGTTTACGTGGAAGTAAGAGTTCCAAGCACGGCACCGTCGGACGACTCTTCTAAGTGGCCGTTGGCGCAGAATGCTTCAGCATGCTGAAACGAAACACATGAAACGCACGCGAATCCGAGCAGAGGAAACAAAATGCAAGTGCCGGATCCTGGACCCTCAGTCGCCAGAAACCCAAAACCTCCAACTCTCCATAGTTTCCCCCCGCTCCCCCCCTCTCCCGCACCTCCCACCTAAACCTCGAAAAACTGAAACTGATACCAGAAAAACCCTGGATCTTAAACCCCGGGAGGTCCTCATCTGCCCTGAAAAGCATCTCCCGAAGTTCCAGGGCCATCTGGGAATGACCACCTGCTGGAATCCTCTGGCGCTTTCTGAGGGCTTTGGAAGGATCCAGGTCTTCGGGGGTTCAGGTATCTTTGGGGTTCGTGTCGGGCTTTATCCGGTTTTTGAAATCTTCAAAGGGCCGAGCACTGCAGGCTTCTGAGGGGTTCGGGACTGTCGGCAAAACCTCGGCAGCTAGGCTCATATGAAGTCCTCCGTTTGATGGAAGTCCTGTTGTTACCCTGTCTTCCGACAAAAGCGTTGAGCCACGACCCCAACACCATCCCTGCCTTGCTCCTCGAGGCTGGCAGGTCCAGGGAACACCAGCATGGCGACACCGAATCTCCTCCACGCCTGGATAGGGTGCAGGGTTTTCCAAGAGGAGGGACCATGGCGTTTACCATTAGTAGGTTAGCACCAGCCCATGAAGTAGATACTCTAAATTGCCCACCGAAAGCAAAGCTATGCAAGCACCCTGCGCTGTTCTTCAACAAGAAACACCCGAACAACAGTGTACTCATAGATAGGTTTATGGTGCAACCATATACAGACTACGCACATGCGGGTGTAAGTTGTTACTGGCCAGACGTGCGGCCTCAGCTTCTTACCCTAAGGCCCCATAGTAGATCCTTTTTGTGTTTAATATTTAGAATCCTATAAATAAAGTAATCCCAAAAAGGAACTACTATGGGGCCTTAGGGTAGAACTATCAGCAAAGCGACCCTAAACCCTAAAACCCTAAAGCTTCTCAGACTATCAGCAAAGCTGTCCATTGAACCCCGCCTGGTATGTCTCCCAGGTCCTCTCGAACGGTGGCAGCATCCGAAGGAGCCGATGCTGGAATCCGGAGCTGTGCCAAGGGGCCTTCGGGCACTCCGTGGGACGTTGGGAAACAGACGAGACGAATACTGGAGGGGCTTGGCCGCAATAAATTAGACCAGGGGTTTGGGGTGTATATGATACGAAGAGTATATTATGCATCCCTATTCGGAATAAGGTTGGTAAATGCTCCGGCTTCTATCTTAAAGTGTCCTCAGCACGGCATCTTGAATCAAGATGAAATTGACATCTAGCAAGAAAGCGACTCTACATCACCCCTGACTGACCAACAACTCCCAACTGAGTCTTTCCAGGAACCGCCTCGGGAATTGAATCTTATACCTCCAACCTCATATCCCAATACTGCCTCATACGGGAGGTTGATGAATAGGGAACTCCCCCGCCCTCTCAATCGCAGAGTCCTTGTACAATGGACTCCGAATCGAGGTACCCCTACTTTTGAACTCAACCCGTACTTGCCTCAACTCGTCTTGCCGCAAGCCTACCTTCGTCTGAAATGGAAGTTGCTAAACATTGTTGGACAGCACTCTAAACCCCAAATGCTCAAATCCCGGATGTATGGGGACCCCCCTCCCCAAAGAAAACCAAATGGAGACGCATAATGTTGGAATCCTCGGAGAGTTGTAATTCGGGAAACGACGCCATTTAGATGAAACGGTTATGAGAAAAAATCCCCAATAAGGGGTACTGCGGATAACTTCCAGATTTGACCAGAGGAGTGTAGTCAAGGGCGCCTCCTCTCTGCGGAAGATCCCGGCTGGTCGCGATATCGGCCTCTTCCTCAGGGGTCAGCTAGGGTCTGGGGTTTAGGATTCTGGCCTGTATACAGAGGTTCAGGGTTTAGCTAGGGACATGAGTGAAGCCATGGTGCGAATTAGGAATCGCACGTCGACTTCTCCTAGCCATCCGTAGACACAGCCGTGCCCAATACGCAGTCGTTCAACAGACTTGAGAAGGCTTCATGTCTTATACGGGAGTTTCCGAAAATAGGGGACCCTAATATAGCACCGTAAATAGTAGGATCATTATTGTAAGGACCTCCAAATAAGGTACCCCTAATTTTCGGAAACTGCCATACGGCTTGCATGCGAAGTGCAGTTCAAGAGTCGGCTCTGGTGCAATGCTGATTGCCGTGATAGCAGCAGAAGCATTTCCAAAATTCTAAAAGCAAGGTATGGCTTTCATGAAAAAACATGTACAAAGTCCAAAGTTCTAAGAGCAAGGTAGCAGCGCTTGTGGAAGTAGCAGTGCGATTATTGACAATGGTACTAGTACTACGGTGGATGATATAGATCTGCATGAGTTCGTACCACTCGTGAGTTTTAATACAGCCGAAGGCGACATGCACCAACAGGACCGCACAAATCACATAAATCCTGCATGAGCCATCCTGTGATTTCTGACATCAACATTGAAATTCTGGGGTGTGGGGCGGGACATGTTGGGTTGTCTCGAAGTCATGCACGACTTCTGTGATCAACAGCAGTAGTGGTCGTCCCCCGCTCCCGCTCCTCTCCGTGGTAGTAGCAGTAGCCGCAGCAGTAGCAACAGGAGAAGGATGAGCAGGAGCTTTGTAGACACCGTACAGTCCAAACTCAGAACAATACCCTAACGCCTCATGGTAATTCCTGTTGGTGCTACATATTTAGAATCCTATAAGGTAATCCCAAATAGGAACTACTACAGTATGGGGCCTTAGGGTATAGTCGTAGCAATGAACAAAGCGCAAAGTCGACGAAGTCCTCTGCAGCTCGCCATGCTGTGCAGTTCGGTGCTGACGTGGGTCCTCGGTGCTTCACTTTGGAAACTTGTGATGTATCGGGGTTTTGGATCGTTGTTTAGTATTAGTGCCTGCCAAAAGTGCTGGGGGATCCTGAAGCATATTAGACTCTCCAACCTGAAGTCTGATCCCTAAACCACGGCACATAAGCATCAAAGTAACTGCCACTCCCGAAACGCTGGAGACCCAACTGCCAAAGCCCATATGGACTCGACGCATGCTGCAACTCGATGCGCAGACACTCAACCCGGCTTCGCAACAACTCAGCGCAACATACTCAGAACCGAAGCCCCTTTCCTTACAGATGCGAGGCATGTGGCCTTGCCTGCTTTGAATGTTAGTAAGTTAGTATAGGAATCCAAGTCAGGGATCGGGGCAGCGATCTGCAGCGAGCCTTGCCGCGTGTCTTTGCGCGGGCCTGCGGCGAAGCGACAACAACGAAGCTGCTACTCTCACCATTAAGATTATGGGCATTACCTCGTTCACCACTTTGGCTGTCATGGTGTTTAGGGTTATGATGCATATGTTAATTACAATACTATGGCATGGTGCTTAAGTAAGATCAAGATTATGATCACAATTCTCATTGTTCTGATCATAACTGTCATAATGATCTCTGAGGAGACTTGTCAAGGCAAACTTTCAGAAGGACGCCTGAAAACAGCGATCGTTTTGAGCTTCAGCTGTCAGCTAGGGGCCAGGGTTTAGGGCTGGAGTTTAGGGTTTAGTTTTGGGATCTGGGTTGTATAGGGTTTAGGGTAGAGCCTGCACAGAACTTGAGCATTATCCTTTGTCTCCGGGACTGGTCTGGAATCCCCGGTGGTGCCTTGCTGGAGTGTTTCTCGTTGCCGAGCAAATTCGGCCACAACACCCTCGCATGCCTTGGCTGTACAAAGTGGATGAAAAATCGGTGCTCCACTCCGTGATCTGTTGAAGGTCACCTCTAGATGGCATCAGTCAAGGTACAGGCTCAACGGCTTTGTCAACAGCAATACACGTGGCTTCGACATTCTAGCTAATAGCGCTGCTACAGCAACCACGAGCCCGACGCACAAGAGTTCTTCGTCATACGTAGAGCCATCAGCAGACGCATACATTTCGAGTTCTTTCTGCTTATTACACGACAATCCCGTAAAGCAGTAGCAGTATAGTATAGTCAGTACAGAATCATTCGTCGTCGCCGTCTGCATCGTGGTCGTCGTGCCTTACTCAGGCTGTCTCCTCAATGTTTCAGATAGGAAGTGATGCTATATAGCTGCAGCATGTCTTCAATGTCGCCTTGTACCCCTGCATTCGGTGCCGGCACGGGGCTCATTCAACTTCGGATGGGCATCTCCGCCTGGGCACATCATGGGACACAGATGAAGCTTGTAAAACTAGTTAACAGTCAAGGAGCGCTCTTCGTAGAGCATGCAGACGAGAGTGGGGGCAGGTGACACATCGGAACCCGGAACACCCAACTGAGTAACGTCAGCACCTGCCTAAGCGGGCTTGGAGCGAAAGGGGCTTGCTTAAGCCGAGAAAGGTGGAGTTTTTAAGGCCCTGGCACAGCATGCGGGCTGCTTGTGGGGCTACCCTAAAACCCTTGTCGCAACTCGTAACGTTTCCACGGTTTAGGGCTCATGACTCCCAGGCTTGGAGCGCTAGGGACAGGGTTTACGACTGTCAGCCTCAGGGAATATGTTAAATGCCTGCATCATGAAGCTTCCGTAGTCAGGTGTTTGTGTCATACAATTCAATCGAGAACTTGTGCATATTGCCTTGAACCTCATACGGTCGTGGCGCTCACAATACGACAATGACTGGAACGAGCCGTGAGCCTTGACACTATATGGGGATTTCCGAAAATTAGGGGTACCTTACTTTGGGGTTCTTACAATAAGGGTCCTACTATTTAGGGTACTATACTAGGGTCCCCTATTTTCGGAAACTCCTATACTGCGGCCTGCACGCGCGATCGCGAAAGCACAATCACCAATAAGTTGTCGGTCTACGCGTCTCGATGTACAACTCCGAATGACCCGGAATGCTGTGCATTATAAGGACTTTCATAACAATAACAGCCCCCTTCCACCAAACATAGCGCACTTTTGTGAAGCATTCCGGTAGCATCATCGTCATACTAAGCTGAGACATCTTGCAGTGTCAAGTCCAGCGCCGAGGCTCCCTTCTCAGGCGAGTCGTTAACCTGGCTGCAAGCAAAACAGCTAATCCCGAAACCTGTAAGCCCTACACCGTGTGTGTGTGGGTGTGTGTTTGTGTGACTCGCTAGGCGCATCTCCTCCCTCCACGTGCAGAAGACACGACACTGCATACCTACACACCCGACGACGGCGAACCTGAGATCTCGAAACTCTCTTTGAAGGAATGGCCTGAACATTACAAGTGTTGGCATTCAGGAGCGCCATTGGCGGAGCAAGCTATGACCTGGCCCCAACCTTGACAGCAAACCCCTTCTTGCCGTGCCGTGGCCTTGGACCACTGCGAAATTCGCAGGCTGCTGGCACTGTGCCGAGGCAGCGCTTTCGCTTCCATGGGACCGAGACCCGGAGCTTGAGCTTGAGGTTGAAATTTCTTAGAGGCTTACGGAACCTTTTCTCTGAGGGCGAGCTGCAGGCTGTATGTACCGGCTGATCTGCCAGGTCGCACGTACTTCGCTTGAGGGTACAGTCAATCCTAAACGCTCTGCCGACTTGTCAGCCTTCAGTTGCACCATCAATCCCCAAACCTTCCAAAACCAACCCCCGACATGAGCTTCACAAGACCTGGCCTGATAGCGAGATACTTGAAGCCCTTAGGCGAACCATCTCCGCCGCGATCTTCGCAGGCAGAGTTTCGAGTCGGTGAAACAGCTAGCAGGATGCCGGGAATGGGTCAGTAGGCGACTGTTTGAGCGAGTCTCAACACCAGGAGTTTCCCGATGGGGCTCATTGTAACGCGGATCTTTAACGTAAGGCTGCGATATGCAGGGCACGATTCAAAGGCGCCTTAGTTTCGAAAGTACATGTGAATTCCAGAATTACTTTTCGTCTTGACATTTGACAGCGAGTGAAGAACGGCTGTCCAAAGAAAACTTTCGGGTTCAGCTTAGGCTACGGAAATATCTGAAGGAGGGCATTATCAGTGCAAACATGAAAACACAGGTGTCTCCTTGCTGCCTGTTGCCTACTAGCCAGGGGCAGGTTTGCTACCAGCAATCCCAAGTGCACGTTTACTGCTGAACGAAAACATGTGCACGCGCTACCTTATACTACTGCTATTTGGCACCAGTACCTGTACGGTACACAGCAGCGAACAAGATCCCACAGCAAATTGCATCGGTCGAGAGCCAGCCACATCAGTAGAAGCTACAGGACCACTCACGACAAGCTCCCGGCGGAGCGCCCGTCGAAGCTCTTCCGCCTAGCGAAAACATTCCACTCCAGGAAAGACAAGAGTCCGCCTGAACTGGGGGTCTTGATGACGAGGCAACGTAGACGAAATGACCCTGAGACCCAACCGCCACAAATCGTGGTCATGGTCCTGATGCGTGCAACGATGGTAACAGTTGACGAAGACTAGCGAATACAAGTGGCAACACTCGCCATCGTCATAACTGGCCCCATGCAGTGGTGGCGGTGGTATCGGCACCGTGCTCACAGAGCAGAAAGACTTGTGCGGCTGCTGCTATTTCAACTAGTAGCAGGGGGCCAGATAGAAGTATCAGTCGTCGTCGTAGTCGTGTCTTCATCGTCGTAGTAACAGCAGCAACAGTAGTTGTAGTGGTGGTAGTAGTAGTAGTAGTAGTCGTGGTGGTGGTGGTAGTAGTAGTAGGTAGTAGTAGGAGTAGTAGTAGTAGTAGTAGTAGTAGTAGTAGTAGTAGTAGTAGTAGTAGTAGTAGTAGTAGTAGTAGTAGTAGTAGTAGTAGTAGTTTGTAGTAGTAGTAGTAGTAGTAGAAGAAGAAGAAGAAGAACTCGCACTCGCACTCGCAGTAGTAGTAGTAGCAGCAGCAGTAGTAGAAGAAGAAGTAGTACTAGTAGTAGCATGGTAGTCAGAGCCGCTCCGTGCTGATTATACCCCGAGTGCTGGCACATCTTTGCATCGGCCAGGACTTCGTGGCTCTTGGCATTTGCAATATTTGAGGTCGATATAGGGGACTTGATAATTTGAATGAGGTTTTGGGGCCCACCACAATAAGAAATCCCCAAAATAGTCTAGGTAATTAACCAAGCCCCTATACTACTCGAGATGGCTTGGCTATACGGCTATACGTGCCGAAGCTGCTCGTGGCTGCAACAGGACGGGCCTCTGGCGAAAGCCTTGGCGATCGTGGGAGGAGGAGTCGCGCAGGATCACAGTGCTAAGTTTCATGACAACAGAAAGGAAAGATAAAACATCGAACACACCATGATTTGTGCTGAGCCTCGCGGAACCTGAAACTAATTGAGTGGCAGGAAGCATGCCTGCCACTTGCGCGAGACTGGAACCTTCTATGTGAGAAAATGAACCTGGGAGTACTATGAACTCGGACGGGAAAGATTCCTGAACCCAACGCCAAGCTCTTCAGCCTTCTGTGCCTGAAACGTTTATCATGGGGCCTGCCATCATCACCTAACACCATGGTCTCTGTCTAGGAGACTTCTGTTGCCCTTACACTTCAATCACTCTGTGGTGTAGAGACCGTCGTCTACAGTGTGAGAAACTCTACGATATCATACACGGTCCGCTCCAGAGGCTTACGTCTTTAGTCCGCATGGCTCAAGTGCCTCACACTCCGCATGAGTTCTCCCAGCAAGAAGAACTTGCTTGCTTCAAGGCACAGGGGAAGGCACCGGGAGGCTGCAAGGAGTGCTGCATCCACCTGCGAGGCATCCAGCACTCTGTTCTCCTATTCCCAAAGCGGCATTTCGGTTTTCATTGATCGATTCGTCAGGTTTTCTGACATGCCTAGCACGTGACGGGCGACAAGAACTTGAGTAGATTGGACTCAATGCTTCTGAATTGGGACGTGCGGGCCTCTGGCATGAACCGATATATATATATATATATAATATGACGTATATGATGTACATGTTACGGAGGCTATATACCTGCCAGCTCCCAACTTGCGAGCCCCCCCCACCACAAAAAAAACAAAAAGAACTGGCACAGTGCACGTGCGTTCCCATAAAAAACCCTTTGCCCTTTGGGACTAGAAGTGCCATGTACCCAGGGCCGGGTTGAAATTTCCGTTCTTCATATGGGAGTCTTCGGAAAATTTGGGGTACCTTGTTTTGGGGTCCTTACAAGAAAGATCTACCATGTAGGGCACGATGTTATACGATATTGGGGTAGGTATTTTCGGAAACTCCCATGTGTATGTCGAGCTTGTGCCCCAGCACCAACCCGAGCGACTCTGAAGCCCCCAAACACAGAAGAGGGTTGGAGGAAGGGGGATGTAATATACGCATGCATGCGGCACTTTTCTCAGGGAGTGGAGATGCGGAAACACTATGCCACTATGCGGTGTCCTCATGGCTGAGTCTGAAGACCAGAAATGATTAAACCCGACGTCTGAAACGCTCGCTTGCACTGTATGAGTCCCCAACTCTTAGTTTGCAGAGCTGAGTCGCAATTTCGAAGGGTGTTTCCTCTGCTGTGCTCGTCTTACTGAAGACTTCGTTGACATGCACTTTATGCATCAATGCACTTGCAGTAGAAGAACCGTACATAGCCATGCATGGTGCATGATGAATCTTGACTTACATGTAGAAACCATGACAACATGTGATATAGGTAGAGTATGCATGAATGCCAGCACTCAATAGATGTATGTGTTGAGTACTGCTCCCCATATCATACAGTATGGTCTCGAACAGGGCTAGTGGGGGCAGCACTCAAGGTATGTGCATGTTCATATGCACGCATCATGTATATGTTCGTGAAGATGCACGGGCATGCAGTAGACATGTACAGAAGGGACGCGGTGGCATCGGCAGACGGGCAGGCACATTTGAGAAAGCAAGACAGAAGAATCGGTATCTCAAACACGCAACATCATACATGCTGCATATAACATATGAGCCGGCTTTCATATTGATGCTCTGAGCTAGTTGGGAGTGCTGTGTCCGTTCATCTCAGTCTCATGACATGTCACTGCATCTCGAGCACCTCGAAATGATTCATTGCCTGCTACATCTCGCCATCCAGTGCTTAAGGATCCCTGGCGTGTCCAATCAAGGAGTGATTTTCTCACGAGAGGATCCGAAACCCAACCCTCCACCCGCCCCCCTCAACAAAAAGGTTCTGCCTGGTGCTAGAGCTGCTGAGCCTCGCCACGTCTCCGGCGCCTGCATCTGGCTCGGCGCAGTCAACCACTCGGTCCCGTTGTAGACATGATTCTAACTTCCTTCATCGATTCGAGTTCCCGATCTGTTCAAACGGCGAGTTGGCTGGCATCTAGCAGGGAGGATTATGCCCGATACATACCAAACACACATATATGTATATACATATGTATAATATATATATATATATATATATATGTATATATATGTATATATATATATATATATATATATATATATATATATTCATACTATGTGTGTATAAGTATTTAAACAAACACATACATATATATATATATATATATATATATGTATGTGTGTATGTACGTATGTGTGTAAGGGGCTGTCGCTGGCAATAGCAAGTGCGACCTCCCAATTGGGGTCAAGTGACAACCCTAAACGAATCGTTCATAGTATTTCGCTTTGCAAGCTTTGCGCTTCTGAGGTTTCACATAACGGGGTATAATCAGGGGTGCGAAGTTTGGCAGAGGTTTAGGCATCGGGTTTTTTGCATCGGATGGATTTTCTCTCGAAACACTTGGATTGCAGGCCGCAAGGTGCTGGGCTAGTGCAACGCAACGTGCAGGACGCGCGCTTTTGCCTCGACTGCTCATCGTGGCGGTCGGAGGTTTGGGCATTGATTATCGTGGCGTGCCCTAAGGAAACTGATTGGCGCCCAGCCAAACCCAAGCGAATGAACGCACGGTAGAGGGAAAGCCGGCCAAGAAATGGAAACGTGCAACATGAGCAATTCCTTCGACTTTGCCCAGTTTCGTGACTAGATCCAATGAGATGCTTGATTTCGTTGGCGAGTGATCCAACTGCAGATTCGAGGATTCAAAAATAGGATTAGGAATTTCCGCCTTGATCCTGATCCCTGTAGGGTTGCACTTGGACGTCTTGGTGGAGAGCTTTACTCTTGCTGTCTGAGAGGATCAGGAGGTGCTAGTGATTCTAGTGCCACTTTCCCTCACAGAACCTTGAAGCTGTAGTGAGTCTGGCGAGACTCAAAGTGAGCTTGATCAGTCAAGAGGACACAAGAATTCATAATCAGGGGAAGCCAGGAGAGTGCGCCAGGACCCGAAACTATGCGTAGCCACTTCTCGATCACACAAAGCCTAGGTAAGAGCTCCCCGGCAAGACTTACCGAATGGTGCAAGCCACGGCAGGAGGAGCTGCATGCCGGACGTGTGAGTCTCTGTAACTCGTAACTCTGTAATCTACATTCTG